TAGAAAATGTGCGTCAGTTGTTCAGTTGATAAAACATGGTCAGTTACAATGTCTTCTTGCAGTCTGAGGCTGCATGGCAAGTAGCTACTCACCGTATAAGTCGTCGGCCGTCATTTTTAGTGACTGGAATGTGCTGGCCACTGGAGGTGACCTCGTCTTCACCCGTTGCCGCCTCCAGTTGGAACTTGGCTCGTTGTCGTTGCTTTCTAGCCAGATGGATCGTGTTCGCATCCGGAATGACACCTTCTAAAAGTCAAAAGGCAAACTTCGTAATGAATTAGTAGTGCACCGGCTTAACTCGAATGTAACCATATTTATCAGTTTGCTTGTGGTTTAGGAGATGAACTTTTAAACGCAGTGGTTTAAAATCTCACATAGAATCACGCCTTCTAACTCGAAAATGACTAGGCTACACTGATTGCCTCCCATAAGGTTTGGGGCGGACTTCAGGGCACACGGTTAGTATAATTTTCAGAAGGAAGTTTATCGCCTGCTATGGAAATTACGATGGGCAGTAAGGGATATCCCAAGAGTATTCAACACAGTGCTATGCTATCAGAGTTGAGCAAAGGTGCAAATTATATTAATTTTCGATCCATACCACCTTTATGGCTATGCTAGAGTTGCTCTTGTCGGTTAGTGTGGCCACATACTTCTTGTTTTGTGGTTTGCCAACTGTATTTCGCCCCCAAAATGTCTGCTACACTTGCGCACAGCGCTGCTCGCAAGTGGTTTCGTTCAAAGCTGTCTTTTCCGTTCTCTTTGAGTTGACCCAATTGTGAAAAAACTCGAAGCGTTCGGCGGAATTTGAACTCGTGTATCAGAGAAGGCCTTTACTGGAAGCCAACGCTCTAACCACTTGATCTATAAACGTTCCACCTCGCGCCATGAATTTAATTAGACTTGGGTCGATATTGCCCGCCCAACTTTGCCACTCGTGTGGAATCTACCAATACGGGACAGCAAGTTGACTGCCTATGCAGGATTTCCTAAGCAATCCTCTAGAATCCAGCAGCATG